ATAGGTGTTCTTTTACCAGCACAGCAACGCCACCGCCTTTCCTAATTTTTCTGTCCCGTCTCCAAATTGAGTAGCCCCTTGGGAATATGACCTCATTTAAAATTACATCTTCAAGTTTTGTCTCCGTGAGTGCAACAATGTCTGGTGTCTGCAGCTGTATTACATCACTTAACTCCAGTATCTTCGATCTCACTCCATCTATGTTGGTGTATGCAATCTTCAGGAACTTGTTCCCCCTCTCCTTATTCTTCACTCCCCCTCTCTCTATTGATTTTGTTGGTTTGCCTTTATGTACCACTTTACTGGTCTGCCTACCCCTATCACTTTGTAGAAAAAAGGTGGGTGTGTGTGTGTGTGTGTGTGTGTGTATACTAGTTGTGTTTTTATGGGGGTTGAGCTTTGCTCTTTCAGCCCGCCTCTCAACTGTCAATCAACTGTTTACTAACTACTTTTTTTTTTTTTTTTTTCTTCTCTCCACACCACACACACACACACACACACACCAGGAAGCAGCCCGTGACAGCTGACTAACTCCCAGGTACCTATTTATTGCTAGGTAACAGGGGCATTCAGGGTGAAAGAAACTTTGCCCATTTGTTTCTGCCTCATGCGGGAATCGAACCCGCGCCACAGAATTACGAATCCTGCGCGCTATCCACCAGGCTACGAGGCCCCAGTGTGTGTGTGTGTGTGTGTACGCCTTCCATTGTGAGGACTAAGTTAGTCCTCACCAACTTAGTACCAGTACCCACCAGGTTCAAAGCTATAAACTGTAAATATATTCTGAAGCATTACTGCAGATGTTCACACAGCTGCATTTTGAAAAAATTCTTTAGGTATACCAAATATTCTATTAATATACAAAAACTTTTCATCCAGCAATTATTCCTTAAATAATAATGGGTGTAAAATGTCTATAGAATTAATTTAATATTTAAAGTAATGCATACTATATAACCCCGCATCTTAAATGACATGGGAAGTATGACCTGAGAGTGATAATTTACTTAACTTCTTTCCAACTGAGTGAAATACTGTAGCTTTTAGATGTGATGTAACTAATGTCAATTCATTATTTACAAACCATACTGAATAAAAAATGTCTTCTCATAAAGTACAAACACTTTCAACTTGAAATACACTATGGCAGTTTCAGTAAGCACAATATTACAAAAAAGTTCCCTCTAAAAAAACATAATTCAAATAAAATGCAGTAGTTCATTTGTTCAGAAATAATAACAATCTGGCACTAGTAAAAACTGCAAACTGTTCAAAATCTACCGGTAAATACACTTATTACACAAGTTGATACCTGGTTCTGGGGGTTCTTCTACTCCCCAATCCCGGCCTGAGGCCAGGCTTGACTTGTGAGAGTTTGGTCCACCAAGCTGTTGCTTGGAGAGGCCCGCAGGCCCACATATCCACCACAGCCTGGTTGGTCCGGCACTCCTTGGATGAAAGAATCTAGTTTCTTCTCGAAGATGTCCACGGTTGTTCCGGCAAGTGTTCCATGAATAAGTGATTTCCACAAATAACAATACAGAAGTTATAAAATAGCATTAATATCAGTGATACAGATATATTGCCCATCACATAAACCAATTGCCATCTATACTCTACAGCTCACCCTTGCATAACACAGTACACTGTAGCAATAATCCTGGAAAATGGAATGTTATATACTGTATATTGAATTGCAAATGGGGACATATGTTCCCAGATATAATCAAATATATTCATTATGTAATACCTTCATTTTGAGTGGAGTGTAAGAGTGGGTGTGTGCATGAACCGGGCGGGGTGAGAGTTGGTGCGGGTTGGAGTAAGGTGGGTGAGGTGGTAGTGGCAGTGGCAGTAATTACAGGATATAGGCTATGCTCATGGTGGCCCATCTTCCCAATCATCTTTTGTTGTGTGGCACTTTGAAACTACCACCAATGGCTTTGGTAGCCATCGCCTTCTCACTTAAATTATTCCAACATTCTACATCTATTTGCCCCCCCCCCAAAAAAAAAAGAGAACCTTCTCTTTTATTTTTTATTTTCCTTTTTATTTCTTCTCCTTTTTATTTTTTCAACACCTTTGTTCCATAGCTTGAATCGGTGTGTGTGTGTGTGTGTGTGTGTATGTTTAGACTGAAAAGGAAATACAGTCCATAGTTCTCTTTGCTGGAGTAAACAGGTGAGCATACAGTGTTATATTAAAATAACAGTCTCCGTGGTGTAGTGGTAAGACACTCGCCTGGCGTTCCGCGAGCGCTATGTCATGGGTTCGTATCCTGGCCGGGGAGGATTTACTGGGCGCAATTCCTTAACTGTAGCCTCTGTTTAACGCAACAGTAAAATGTGTACTTGGATGAAAAAACGATTCTTCGCGGCAGGGGATTGTATTCCAGGGACCTGCCCGAAACGCTACGCGTACTAGTGGCTGTGCAAGAATGTAACAACTCTTGTATATATCTCAAAAAAAAAAAAAAAAAAAAAAAAAAAAAAAAAATAGTGCATGCAATTTAATCAGGGGGAGGGGTCACTAAATGAAACTGCATAGGGTAAAGAATCACGTTATGTGAATGTGTTATAAAAGGGTCCTCTGAATATATACCTTATACAACATTCTTCCATTCACTCACTGTTATGCAAATAAAAACATATGTAACATTTCAATTATATTTTTGTTGCCATTCTTTGTTTATATAAAATACAATAATCTGTATGCAGATGATGAGTCACAATAACATAGGCTGAAGAAATGTTGACCAAACCACACATTAGAAGATGAAGAAACAACGACATTTCAGTCCATCCTGGACCATTATCAAGGTCGATTGTAAGGGGTGTTACCTCACATCTCTGGACCAGTTTCCTATTTCTGTGTCAGAATTCCTGTTCCTGGTTAGGTCATGAAGGTTTCTCCATTCAGTATCAGGCCTGATTCTATTAAATGTATCTTTCTTGGTAATCCTTCTGAGGCTGAGTTTATCCTGTGTGACCTGGAGACACTTTGGGTCCTAGCTGGCCCTTTGACTTTGCTGGGTCTCCCTTTCAGTTTTGGGGATTTTGGTGATTTAATTTCAGAGGTCACTTTCCTGTTTGGACTAATTATTTATTTATTTAATTACAAGAATTGGGTTGTGATGTATTGTATATATCCCAGTGAATATACATTTGGTTGTGTATATGTAACACTGAATGTAACATTGGTGTTTTTACATTCTTGCAAAGCAACTAACAAGCATAGTGTTTCAAGCAGGTTCTGAATCTAACAGATAAAATTAAGAGTAATTAAAAGGTACATTGTAGCAGAATTTGATTTTAATATAATAACTACTATAAAATAAACTGATTATTGATTATACTGGAGATGTTACATGTCTTAAAGTACTGTACTAACATATTGGTGAGTGGGTAGCACAAGATAGTGAGTTTGAAGCTCAAGGTAGGTAACTATGAAAATGTAATTAGGTACTTTTTGGTTTAACTTTTGAATAAAGCATAGGTTGAAATTTTGTTTAATTCATTAGGGATTGAGTTCCATAGACTGGGTCCTTGTACTATATTTGCATGGAGTTTACACAGATTTAGTCTGATTCTAGGGATATCAAAGTACAGTAATGTTTATTTCTGGTGTGGTGCTCATGGGTTTTATTATATTTTTATTTTATATTTATTTATATATACAAGAGCTCTTACATTTTTATAAAGCCACTAGCACACACAGTTTCGGGTAGGTTCTTAATCTTAATTTTACCTGGAATATGACCTGCCAAATCATTTAACGACCAGCTGTCCATTCACTGCTGGGTGAAAAGAGGCATACAGTTAAGGATTGGCCCCTAGTCAATCCTCCTTGGCCAGGATACAAACCCAGACCAAATCATTTGCGAAAGTGCGGGGCGAGTGTGTTATCACTGCGCCATGGGGACTACTATTACATTTATCAAGGAAGAGTTTCATATCAGGATTAGCATTTAGGAACAAGGTTTTGTATATGCATATAGCATAAGTGAATGTATGGAGTGCATATTCAGCATGTTTGGAATTTAAACAGAGGGACTGTGTTGTCTGAAGACTGAAGTCTGAAGAACAAACTCGTGTTCCGAGGTAACCCTCGCCTTCCAAGGCACATTTTCCGAGCAAATCCTGCTCGTATTCCGAAAAACTCGTATTCAGGGACACTCGTATTCCAAGGTACCACTGTAGTTGTGCATTAATTGGCTGTTGATTGCTGGTGTTGGACTTTTTGATGTGTAGTGCCTCGCTGATGTCGAGCCTCCTGCCATCGCTGTATCCATCAATGATTTCTGTGTTAAGATTTCTCTGGTGATGGTCTGGTTGTGAGAAGAGATTATATGTTCCTTGATGGAGCCTTGATGGAGTTCCTTGATTATGATTTCTGTGTGTAATGAAGTAAGGGTGAGGAGGTAGAATGGCCTATTGACATAGCTCGAGTGCATGGGGGAATTGTGTAAAATCCTGGTTTGTGTCTCAGAGTCTGCAGGATCCAAGTAAATTCAGTAGAATTTCTGGTTGCAATTCTTATACCATGTTGTAGCTCAGTCGATTAAGGCAGCGTTTGGGATGCTTTCAGACGCAGGTTCGAATCCTCGTCACAGCCCTTGTGGATTTGTTCAATAGCATGGATTATCTGTATTAATCTACATTAATCCTTCTCACCCACATATCTCCAAACATGAGTAATCCAGTGACACAAATTATAAGCTATTTGTACTTGCAAATAGCTTAGGAAATATTAGTCCTCAGTATGGTTACACAAAACTGAATGGTCCCAGGTTTGATTCCCAAGCAGGACAAGACATTTGGGCATATTTCCTTATATCTTATGCTTCTGTTCATTTGGCAGTAAATAGGTACCCAGGAGCTGGGCACCTGTTGTGTGGGTTGCATCATGGGGCAAGGTCAAGCCTTGGCCCAGGCAATCCTCGATAACCCTAAAAGACTTGCTGTCCCTGACTATGGGAAATGATAATATTAAAGTCTCCATTTCTATAACCTATTTATTTTGTTAAACATCATAATATAATTATTCCACTGGCAACATTGCACACTTATTGCAGTATTATATAGTCACATTAACTTCTGGGAAAAAATTGACCTAATGGTACATCCAGATTGATTTTTTTTTTTCTGGGACTGCTCAGGTGTCTCCTTTACGCTATCTTGCTGAGAATACTCCATGCTAATGGGTCACATCAGATGTCAAGTGGAAGTTCTGTGGAAGTTCTGTTTGCCCTTCCAGGGACCAGAGTAAGAACTTGGTCCCTTCACAGAGGTGCAGGGAGTGAGTGACAATTTGCCACCCTACAGGTGAAGCATCCAGAAAGTCAGTAAAGCTTTACAGACAACTGGAGGATTCATAGAAAATGAAGCCTCAAATTCAGCAAACAACTCTACAAATTATAGTTATGATTGCTGTCTCGTTCAGTCCCATTCCCGGCTTCAAGAATCATTTTCCCCATCTCACTGTATATACTAGATAGCCCAGAGAATATTTTGTTATAGGAAGGCTGTGAGTTGTAGCACTTTTAAGAAATTTAAATTTTTAATTTTCAATAGGGAGTAGCCTAGAGGCATTTTCCAAGATGGTGATTGCAGGTGTTACTGCTTGAAAAAAAATTCGGCACCTAGAGAGGAGCAGAGACGAGGGCTCTGAACCAGGATGAGAAGAGGAAAGATGATTGATAACAGGTGATGATGTAACCAAATCTATAACCAAAGGTCGTGTCATCAGTGAGTGAGGGCATCGTGACCTCTCATTGGATTATGAGGTGTCACTGAGCTTCAGGAACTGGTGGTTGATGGGTACACATAGCCGATGATCCCGAATTTTGCAGAATTCGTCATTTGCACATTGAGTTTTATCTCTGTTGATCACTACTGACTAAAAGACATTGCAAAGAGCAGCCTAACTAGTCTCAGATAGGCGTTACCCGTCAATTTCTCAAGGAATTGCAAAGGTTAGTGCATCGTGGGAGCAAGTAATGGTTAGGGACCTAGTGTGGGCAGTGTCTGTCCAGATGAGCAGATACTGTGTGTGTGTGAAAGGTCACTGTTTGACTTCCTCAGCTAACCCAAGGGGTTCGGCGATTACTCGGTAACAGATAGTGTGAGCATAGTAATGAAGTATAAGAGCCTACCTGCACTGGGAGATATTTCATATGGACAGTGATTATTCTCCATTGACATTTGCAGTTATATATTGGGCAGTACAGTGGCCCAAGTGTGGGTAGGAACAGTTCCGGTGAAGTGATAAAAGCAGTAGTGTTTGGCAGAGCCACTGGTCCAGTGAGTGGAGAGGTGACAGACACAAGCATCAAGCAACAGGTGGAGGAGGAGGAGCTGTGATGACGGGTCAGAGCAACAGTGGCATAACGGACAATCAGCTGATCGGCACCAAGGATCTGTTGTTAGTTAAGTAACAGTTCTTTCCCTATTTTCCTTTGAAGTAGTAAATCCTGCATGCACTCAGGATTTTCTTTCCTAGGTGCCTGCAAGTGCTGCCTTGCACCGACAGAGTTATCTTCTCTGGTGTGTTTGGGAGTTGGGAGTTAGTCCTTAAGAAGCCAGGCTACTGTGGAGAGCTCTACCTTGGGTTGTTCAGGAGTCTTTGACTACTCTCTTTGGGCTCTTGGCTGGGTTGTACTGGGCACACTGCAGTTCACATATGTGTTTATGATGTAACACAGTTGCCATTTGTAATCTGATTGTTTTGGTTACGATTGGTGTTTGTTCTTCTGGCAAGTGGCCCCAGTGCCTAGGGTTCCTGCTTGGCTAGCAGCCTTCAAGCTCGGGTAATCCCTTTACGGGTCTCCAGTGTGATCCATTATGGAAGGCCCATCAAGCCAACACTCGCCATCTGCGAGCTTGATGTGTGTTCATAGTCTTTGCTACCTGGCAATTATCATTCTTTCTGCCTCCGCCTATTGGGTTGGTGACCCCTATGACCCTGAGTTCTGTGAGGTTTTTCCCTGGGTCTTTGCCCTTACTGATTTGGCTGTAAAGGTCAAATTCAGTGCACTGAGAGAAGCGCATGCACCACCAGTTTGTCTCGCCAGCCAAAGTTGCTTCTGACATAAGTTAAGACAGGAAGTTCTCAAGTCCCCTGACTCATCCTAGGTGAGGGCCACTACAAGTGAAGACGACCTCTTGGGGAGCTAAGGAAAGGTTACTTGAGTAGGTTACTTCGTTACTAGGTTACTTCCTAGTGTTAGCTCTTGAGTTACACTAGGAAGGTAACCCTGTGCACATGCAGCTCCAAGCACACACAAAATTGGTTCACGATGTACTGCAGTGTACAAGAAATGCCACTAAAAGAATTCACCACCACTTTACTAAGCAAACAGAACACCAGAGTCAGCAGAGAAAAAGAGGCAATCTGGTATCCACTACATAAGCAGTAGAATTGGGGCTGAGATGCCGGCTGATAGTGAAGTACCTCCACTCCCCCCCCCCCTCAAATGAGTGGGGGAGGTGGGGCAAACAAGCTCATGATGGTTCAATTGAGGAAGTTTTCTAGGTGTTTTTTTAGGCATTGGTATCTTTTGAAGTCAGCAGTGCTTTGCTTTTACTCGCTGACTTTCTGCTTGGCTTTCCCAGTGAGGTGGCAAAAATAGATGTCACAGCTCCCTGTGCCTCTTTGAGTGGGGCAGGTTTTGGCACGGGTCCCTGGTAGGCCTATTATAACCACGGCTGATGTGACCTAGTAGATGTACTATCTCAGTATAGTAGCTAAAGGGAGTCATAAGGGGCTTTGCCCAGAAATAAGATTGCAAAGGAGATTTTAGTTTATCATACAAATAAAATATATAATTTAAAGCAAAATCCTAAGTAAAATATGTAATTTTACTTTGTCTCTTGATTTCATCAAAGAAAAAAACCTGTTTGGAGCTCTTGATAGAAGTACCATATACCTGATCTATGAAAATAGATGTACAATATCAACAAATTTGAATTCTAATTACAGTATTACATTTAATAATTAGAGCAGGTCACATAAGAACTAAGCATCATTTAACTTTTCATTATTTATACACACATCATTCTTAATTGTACACAAATCAAGTTTTTTGGCAACAAGTCACATTATTTTTAGAAACTGTTCAGTATTGTAGTGTCTTGAAAATCTGTATTGTTAAAAATACTGATTACAACATGCAAAAACGATCTTGCATATCATTGACTAATAATAATAGCACATAATAATCAATACCTTTAATACCATACAAACCCTTCTGACACAATGTCATAAATACCTTATGTGAAACATAAATACCGAGTTGAAGGCAACTGGCCCTAGCACCATAACCGGATGATTCTGAGCAAGTACGACAAATGAGTTGGTAGTATTGTAGCGCCTAAATATCCACCATAATCAGCTACTGTTTGCATATTTCTGAATGCAGCGAGTGGCTTGCCTGAGGCGCGTGACAAGGTGAGTAAGCTGGGCCAGCGAACATGAAAATGTAACTTTTCCTCGTTTGCCCTCGGACTCTTCGGTGTGAAGTGTTACCAAATACATAGCTCCACCACCTTCCTGACCAGCACTACTCTGTGAAATAGAATCTGGTTAAAATTTCTAGCATAAAACAAAAATTGTTTGCTTTCTTAAGTTAAAATATGCTATCAGCTCAGTTGCATCAATATAAAGTACAGTAACAAATGTATTCAGTACAGTACGGACAAAATATCTGGACATGAATTTATCAGCAATACAAATGTTGTATGGTACCTAAAAATGCATAACTGGATTAACAAGGGGATGAAACTGTAAACCAAACTGGATACTACCAACAAATCAAATTATAAATAGTAAACAAAACTTAGAAAAAACAAAGAGTGAATGAAAAGGAAAATGACAAGGGTAAATATCTAAATAATAACATCACATTGCAGATGCTAACACCACACATGAGCGGTGGAAAATATATAATTTACAGTTTATCATGAATAAATAGGATGATCCTACTAATTTCAAAACTATGAATTCCAAGAAAATATAAAACATGATGACACTAAGTACAGTCCTATAATTTGAAAGGTGCATAAACAAAACCTGTTGTGATTTATTATATGAGATAAAAACAAAATTTGTTGTAAAACAAATAATCAAACTGTGAGTGTGTGCTGCTTTGGTGCAAAGTGTATCTCTCTAACTTTGACCTTCTATACTGCCTAGACATAAATGGTACTATTAACATCAAAGAGACATCACAGGATGGCCCAATGTTTGTCATTAAATAACTACTATGTTTCAGTAGTGTATCAGTTTCAGTATCACCAGTCTCCGTGGTGTAGTGGTAAGACACTCGCCTGGCGTTCTGCAAGCACTTTGTCCTGGGTTAGTATCCTGGCCGGGGAGGATTTACTGGGCGCAAAACCTTAATTGTAGCCTCTGTTTAACTCGACAGTAAAATGGGTACTTGGTTGTAAAACCGATTCTTCGTGGGGGTCGTATTCCAGGAATCATAGAATTAAGAACTTGCCCGAAACGCTATGCGTACAAGAATGTGAAAATGCAAGAATGTAAAAACTCTTGTATATATCTCAGAAAAACAATAACCAAAAAAAGAATTTATTACACAAGTGATAATGTAAGCTGTCTAACATCCTCCAGTAAATAAAGAAAATGTAGTTGTGAGTATTCAATTCGCCCTACAAAATTGTCTGTAAAGGCAGCAATAATCTGAAATATAAGGAATCTTACTGAGCATAATTGGACTTTAATGCCTAGTAATACTGCAAAGTATATTATCTTGTTGGAAATAAAAATAGATTGAATGAAAAAGATTGTTTGTTTGAGATAAATAAATCAAACGACTGTGTTTGTTGACGGAAATGTCAGTCATATACAGTACAGTACTGTATGATGTTTTAGTTGGCATATTCAAGACAATTTTCACTATCATGGAATTTTTTTTTCATGATAGTGAGAACCCTGTACAGTATAAGCATTTTGTAATGTGCATAAATTATAAAATTGTAATTTAATAATTTTTTTATTTACTTATTTATTTACCTTATTTATATAGATAATTTGTAATACCTGTATGTGTAATTACATGGAGTAATCAAAATTTTTAAATTACTGTTGCATAAGCACAAATAAAGAAATGTAAATAGTAATTTCAAATGTTTTAAATAAACAGCATTCAAACCTGTTTAGAGAAAGTGATAGGCAAGTTATTAATCACCAGATGTATTCTGTGGGGCGTTCCTTGGTCTCCAACCGTGTGACAGAAAATTGAGCATATGAAGATTTACTCATCAATTTTAGTTTTCATTGTTTCTTTTTAGGTGTACAGTATATTAGTGCAGGAGGAAGTGTATGCTGTTGAATTACTTTTATGTACAGAATTGTAATATACATTGCTATTATAAATAATAACACTAACTTACTCTAACTTGGTAGTACAACTTCCAATCGACATCAACAATGTGTGGAGGATATGTTCCAAGAGAAGCAAGTCTTGAGTGAATCAGATGACGGCATGATTCAAGTTCTCGAAGTGCTTCAGTTATACGTTCTGAAAACAAGATGCATGTGCATTTATAGACATAATACAATAGTACTTTTATCATTTTATTGTTACTTGCATGTTCAAGTAGCTTGGTAGAGGCCAAAAAACATATTTTTACACAAGTCATTTATCAATATTTATAACTATTCTCAACATACAGTATGTGGAGCCACAGGTTTGCCCAAAATGTTAAAGGCACCACTTTACCATAGATCTAGTTTCTTGTATTGTTTATCTGCTCTCTGGAGTAGATATTTCTGCATTTTATTGAATTGTACAACAATTTAACACAGGACTTACATTGAACTTGAGAAAAGTATCATTCTGAGCATGTTTTTCAGACATTCAAATAGGTTACTGGGTATATATTATTATCATGCAGGCATATAATTTGTTCTAAACTACCCCATGAAAGTGTTTGATAATGATATTTAGTGCTTCACCTATGTCTAATCTTGTATTGTTGTTGTATCTAATGATTATTTAGGTATTATTGTTCAGGATGCCTCTTGTAATGGTTTGGTCGTGTGTAGAAATTGTGTGTGGCATTGGGTAGGGTGTTCCCGGTGCTGATCTCCCTCTCTCTTGAGGTTACTGGTTGCTGTTCTCCTCCACTCATGGGAAGTCCTGTTTTGTTTTTCCAAGGTGAGAAAACCCCAGGGAGCCACCACGGGGTCCTTCCCAGCTTCAGTTTGCTATTTGGAGACACTTGACCGATTCAGTATCACTGGGCAGACACAAAGCTACAGGGGGTTGTCACCTCACAATAAGGAAGGGGTGTGTAACTAGAGGTGATAATGACTAAACTCCTGTGTTCTTAGTTCTCAGGGTTGCTAATATTTTCCTTCCAATTGTATGTTTTGGAGTGCTCTACATTTCTGGTAGTATTTCACCTTGGTCTGGGTTGATCTAGTATTCCCCAGGTCCCTGTGCCTCTATGAATGGACCAGATTATCTCTATTGGTAATTTCACTTCATGAATCCAGGGAGCCATCAAAGGGCCCAACAGAAAGAAGAGAGTTGTTACATTCAACACTAAAGTTTTTCTTATTTGAAATGTAATTTTTTTTTATAAAATAAGATGAATTAATTATAAGACACAAATTAATGTATGGAAAAAAGGGCAGAATTAATTTTTGTTTGCTTTGTGACTAAAATACACAAATATTTTATATCAATTTTATTTATGGTATTAATGATATTCAAATTAACAGGTGAGGTAAACAAGCCTGATCTCACCTTGTTCTACCACTAGGAAATGTAAGAACAGGAAAATTTTCATAAATCTACCTAGGCCTTGAGGGGATATTGTTGTCACTACCATAAGCAGGGCAGAGGCCCACAATCCAAAAGTCAATGAACCTAAGCAGGAAAGGATGAGTAGGTTGCAGCATGACAATTAGCTAACCAAGTTAAGGCCTCAACTAATTCTTGTCCTAAATTTGGATATGGAAAAGTCAGAGATCTTCTCTGGGATTAAATGCCTACTGCTGGGATCACCACTATGCATCTTGAGTACATAACTTTGCTGTACCTGGCCCTAAAGTGAAGTATACCTGAAGCATACCTGGAGAGGGTTCTGGGAGTTGTTCTACTCTCCAAGCCCGGCCTGAGGCCAGGCTCGGCTGAGTAGGGCAAGTATCATTATGATAATCCTGGTAATTAAGTGGCCAGTCTTTAGCCAAAGAACTCTCTGTAGCTGGCCACTTTTTAAAATTGCACTCAAAAGACACCCAGATATCACTTGAGGGAAAAAAAGGGACTCGACACTCTTGAAGTCACACTGACTATAAGTAGACTACACTTATAAGGCACCCAAATGTTTGTTGGATCACATGATCTTAAGACTGACAGTGATTTAACTTTTGAACAATCTGGCTTTACTGGCCAAACCATTGCAGAATCCAGTCAGGATGTACACTATGAGGAGAGTAAGAGCTGGTGGACCCTGGGATGAGAAAGGTCATGCTGCCTGGTGCATGTGATGAGATGATGCAAGTATACAGTATTTGTATTTAGCACAACAAGGTTAACTCAGCATTTCCATTAGGAGCCACAAATGTGACATTACTAGATATTCTAGAAGGGAATGGGCTTATTAGCAGGCATTCTTAACATGTCCATTCTCTCTTAATAGCTCCAAAGCCTCAAATGAAATCTGCAGAGATGGACTCTTGTGCCAGTGCTACACAGTCTACAGTCTACATAAGCAGTCTCCGTGGTGTAGTGGTAAGACACTCGCCTGGCGTTCTGCAAGCACTTTGTCATGGGTTCGTATCCTGGCCAGGGAGGATTTACTGGGCACAAATCCTTAACTGTAGCCTCTGTTTAACGCAACAGTAAAATGTGCACTTGTTTGTAACAACGATTCTTCGCGGTGGGGATTGTATTCCAGGGACCTGTCCGAAATGCTACGCTTACTAGTGGCTGTACAAGAATGTAACAACTCTTGTATATATCTATAAAAAAAAAAAAAAAAAAAAAAAGTCTCTTGGAATGGCAGAATGAGAGCTCTGAATACATTACAAAGAAAGGGACAAATCCGACTTACTAGGCGTGAAGACCCGAGTATTCTTACTACTTCTGAATTTAACTTGGGGACATCATTTTTTTGTACACAGATGGGTACTTCTGACTCTTGTTCGCAGGTTTCTCATTTTCCTTTCCATTGCTCATCTTAAGCTTTACCGTATTAATTTTCCCTGAAACACAACCAACGAATTGGTTTTCAAAAAGGTCCTCAATTACTGCTGGGTGAACAAAAGTGAACAGTTGAAGGAGATTAATATATTAATTCTTCCTGCTCAGATTGATTGACCTCAATGGGGACAGGTAGCCAGCAGCTTATCAAAAGAACTCCCATTATTTTTTATTTGTTTCAGTTGAACTTTGACCTGGAGTTCTATTTTGACCCTTATGGCTAAGACTGGTAGGCATTTTCATAGGTTTATTACCTTACGAGTGAAAAAGCATCTCCTGCTTGTTGAGGTTGAAGCTGTTGCCCCTTGTGTAAGTTATATTGGATCTATTAAAGTGGTCTGCATTAAATCACTACACTGGTGTATTTTAATAAATGCATAAATGCATTTTACTCATCATCCTGTACAAGCATTCAATTTGCCTGTAATTATGATCTTTACCTTTTGTTGCTTCCAGGAATTAAATGTCCCCATTGTCCAGAGTCTGACCAGACCTGGTTGGTAACCTGCTCAACCAGGCAGTTAGATACCGCTGCTCATAGTCTGATATAAAAATCAATTCAATTATTTTCTCAGGAGCAACTGCAGTGCAATAGTACTATATATAGTACATGGTACAGTATTTGGCAGTTGATTGCCTATGAAAAGATGCATAGAAAACTTTTCCTGATTGATACCTGCTTGATGGGGTTCTGTTGTTCTTCTACTCCACAAGCCCGGCCCGAGGCCAGGCTTGACTTGTGAGAGTTTGGTCTCCAAGGCTGTTGCTTGGAGCGGCCTGCAGGCCCACACACCCACCATAGCCCGGTTGGTCTGGTACTCCTTGGAGAAAATGATCTAGTTTTCTCTTAAAGATCTTTCACACTTGTTAAAAATTTATTATTGAGGTAGTAATTGGTTATCTCATCCACCAACAGAATCAATACTGTGGTTCTCTCATCCACCCTCATCAGCAGTACTGTAGTTATCTCATCCACCCACCGTAGTACTACAAAATGGGGCAACATGGGCACTCCTTCCTCATCGTTTATTAATTGGCTACACCCACACCCCAGAACTACCTGGTGGGTGCCTCACTTTCTTCACCTTTACATTCCCATTCTTTTATAATTCTTACAACTTGCTTCCCTTATTGAGCTGTTATTGTTGTTGTTAATTCAAAATTTTTCAATACAGTTTAGTTTCTTGGTGAAAGTGTCAACTATTTTACTTTGCACGCTTGCTTGGTTATTATAATGTTCTCTGGCAAACTTTTCTGCTGTTCCTTCAAGTGTTGAACACTTTAAGGTATCCATAATGTTGGAAAAATATTCTGCCTGAAGCCATACTTTTATGAAAGCAGCATCTCTGAGGGAACAAGCCAGAGGAGATATACAAAATACGCAAAGATTACAATTTGTTTAAATGAATATGTTAAAAAATATAAATAATAATGCCTTTCTCATAACAGTATTTATTAAGTCTAGTTGAACTCATTCATAGTGCTTATTCATCCTTGTGCTAGATCCTTGGCACAGTGGTAACGCACTCCAACCCCTCCTTGCACTTCACAAGTGATTTGGCCTAGGTTCGTATCCTGGCATGTGAGGTTTGATTAGGTGCCAATCCTTAACTGTATTTCTCTGTTCATACAGCAGTGTTTGGTTACCTGGTTGTTATGTGATTGGTGGGTCGTATTCCAGGGAAAACGAGTGGGTAAGGCTTACCATGAGCTATGGGAAGGGAAAGCTCTCAGCCTGTTAGCAGGAGTCAGCAGTTGTCTGTTCCTGTACCCACCTGTGTAAAGAAAAAAAAACACTAGCATTGAATATAATGAATCATCTCTTTCTAGTGGGTCCTCAATGGCTCTTTGTTGCTAGCCAACTGGTTAGCTCCACCCATTTTGAGTCACATCAGGTCCTTGCAGGTCATGAAAAGCCTACCAGAGTTCAAAACCCTGGCCCCCTCTTTAGTGGCGCTGGTAGCTGAAGTTTTTAGACCACTTTGACCAAGAAAAATCCAATAGAAATGCAGTGATACAGACAGACAATAAGAAGGCAACTCGGAGTACAATCCACTCAGTTGTTTGTAAAATTTACACTACACTAAATTTACACTTTATGTACCAGGTGGCCAATTCAAATCCTCCAGAGTCGAGGTCAGAACTGATGTATTGTGACCTCCTCGCACAGATTCCACAAACAGGGTTGACAGAGCAGCATGACAGTGGGTTACCACACCTGGAAAATATTTTATTTTGAAATAGACTTTGTAGTTGATGTCAGATAGTTTCTTAGCTTCAAAAGGCAATTTGAAAGTTAGAATATTTGCATTAAATCTATTTTTACAGTTGCATCATAAACAATTATAAGAGCACTATATTCTAATCCAGAATAACTAACATTTAATTTTTGACCAAGGTTTTAGAATTGTCTTCCGCCCACATTTCTCCCTTACACAAATTACTGAATAAAGTTACAACAGAAAACTGAAATAAAACAACTAAAAAAAAAAAGAATAAGAAAGTAGATTAAAAAAAAACTAATCCAAATTCTTATCAAGGATCTAAAGACTGTCTGCAGCTGTTGTCTCTCCACACCTAAAGCAGCACAAGCAGAAAGACAAACTCTTCAGCACGGGTGGGACACAGGTGGAAACTTAGTGCCCAGATGAGCCACAGAGATGTTAGAAAGAATTTTTTCAGTGTCAGAGTAGTTAATAAATGGAATGCACTAGGAAGTGATATGGTGGAGGCTGACTCCATACACAGTTTCAAATGTAGATATGATAGAGCCCAGTAGGCTCAGGAATCTGTACACCAGTTGATTGACAGTTGAGAGGCGGGACCAAAGAGCCAAAGCTCAACCCCCGCAAGCACAATTAGGCGAGTACATGAACAGACTAATTAGGAAAATATAATGTTATATATGATTTGATTACCAGTGCTAAGAAACATAAGCTATGTAGAAAGACTAAAACAGTGATTATGGCCAAAATGAAGGTGAAACTGGAAAGATGGTTAGGTTAGGTTAGGATAGAATAGGGTTTGGTTTATTTGGAAAAAAAAAAAGTATTGATGGCATGGCCAACTTTTAGGTAAAACTTTTTGCAGCTCTGAGACCCAATAGAAGGTAATTATATAAAATATGAAGGTTCTCTGACTCCTGTTTATTTGATTAAACTTTATGCTTACCTGTAAGTTGAAGCACAACTAATATATTATTATTATATATAATATAATGACACACACACATACACATTGTATGTGTGTGTGTGTGTGTCACCTAGAAGATTGTCATGCCCTTCAAGAAGACCTGGACAAAATAAGTATATGGAGCAACACTTGGCAAATGGAATTTAATGTGAATAAATGTCATGTTATGGAATGTGGAATAGGAGAACATAGACCCCACACAACCTATAAATTATGTGAGAAATCTTTAAAGAATTCTGACAAAGAAAGGGATTTTCTAGATAGAAAACTGTCACCTGAGGTCCACATTAAGAACATTGTGCAAGGAGCCCACTTTCTAACTTCAGAATTGCTTTTAAATACATGGATGGCGAATACTAAAAAAAATTGTTCACGACATTTGTTAGACCAAAGCTGGAATATGCAGCGGTTGTATGGTGCCCATATCTTAAGAAGCACATAAACAAACTGGAAAAGGTGGAAAGACATGCCACCAAGTGGCTCCCAGAACTGAAGGACAAGAGCTACGAGGAGAGGTTAGAGGCATTAAATATGCAAAAACTAGAAGATAGAAGAAACAGAGGCGATATGATCACTATGTACAAAATAGCAACAGGAATCGATAAAATTAATAGGGAAGAATTCCTGAGACACGGAACTTCAAGAACAAGCGGTCATAGATTTAAACTAACAAAACAAAGCTGCCGGAGAAATATAAGAAAATTCTTTTGTAAACAGAGTGGTAGACAGTTGGAACAAACTGGAAAACGTTATGCTCATCTTTGCACTATGGGTCCATTAAAGAGAAATGGGAAACTTGGAAACGTCCGATATAACAGCAGAGAAATTGATGTAACAATGACCAGATTAAGGCTGGGACACACCAAACTAGCAGCACACAGCTCTAAGTACAGAACAGACATCAATGAACTCTGCTGTCACTATCAGGTGCCTGAAACAGTCGAACACTATCTCCTGTACTGCTTCCGACATCATAGTGCCAGAGTAAATTTCAAACAATTCTTTATCGCACTTAAAATACCCTTTACCATCGAGCATATATTAGGAGGTGGTGACCACTCGTTACAAGAAAAATAAGAAATAGTCAAAGCACTTGCTAAATATCTCCAGTCGACCAACAAATTGGGTCACATCTGACCCGTGCCACATTTATACCCGGCGCCACCAACAGCTAAACATGGAAAGCAACTGCCTTGTCGCAGTACCATGGATCAGCTGACGCCATAAACACAACATACCACCCTACGGTGCAGCAAGTCTCCCTACAACAAACACCTCTGTTTTAGTCACTGCTGCTCTATCTACAGCACAATGCAACAAGCACCTTTGTAACTCCGATCACCCTCAACATAAACGCGTCCACCAACATCTGTACTGGTGCAGTCATCGGGAGTACAAACCCTTCATGCAAACTGCACCTACCATCAACAAGAAGAACGCTCGCGGTGTTCCGTGAGCGCTTTCTCATGGGTTCGTATCCTGGCCATGGAGGATTTACTGGGTGCAAATCCTTAACTGTAGCCTCTGTGTAACTCAACAGTAAAATGTGTACTTGGTTGTAACAACGATTCTTCACGGCGGGGATCGTATTCCAGGTACCTGCCCGAAACGCTACGCATACTAGTGGCTGTACAAGAATGTAACAACTTTTGTATATATCTCAAAAAAAAAAAAAAAAAGTGGAGGTCAAAACCGCCAGTAGCTTCAAAGCATTATATGACAGAGTGCTGGGTAGACGGGACACCACGGGCGTAGCTCTCATCCTGTAACTACACTTAGGAAATTATATACACATATACATACATGCAGTAAAACACTAGCTATGTGCTTACCACCGTCGATAACATGAGCCTCAGGTGTTATGGTGTTCGATTTGCTCTCAAATTTCAGGTCTTGGGCCACTTTATGAAGGACCTCTTGGAAGGTGACATGTTGTGTTTTGGAGGCGTCACCAAGCAATCGCAAGGCAGAAGAAATGCTCAAAGATAAATCCATCAGAACTTGCTGTTAAAGAGGTCTTGACGAGGTACCATTTCAGATATCCAAAGGAGGCGTACACTACCTGTTCGAATATCAGCGTACTCGTAGACCAACCCGACCCTGATCACCATTAAAAATAAGCGAAATATACTGTCGGAATTTACATATTCAAACAAATTACAAACAAATTATTGGTAATACGCACAGGACGATAAAACTTGCACAGTAGCTTTAGCCCATCACCAAACCGAAGCCAAAGTCAGTGAAGGGTAAAAGGACACAGTGTTGTTTATAAAGTGTACTCATAAATAATAATGAATAACCTGTTATCCCTTAACCCTTTTACCCTCACACCATAACAAAAAACCCGTGAATGACCATCATAAGGCAGTTGCGGCCATACGGAAGGAAGAGTAAGAGGTGATTGATGAGTGTGTGTGTGAGAGAGAGAGAGAGAGGAGAGGGAAAATAGTTAGATGCGGTGACAATAGATGGCGTGAGTGAGGTAGCAGACGACGTGTGTGAGGGGGGAGGGTTGAGGGGGACGTCAGAGCGTCGTCTGAGGTGGTGAGTGGAGGGGGTCGCGTCGCCCAATACCGCCTCTCCCAGACTCAGTCAATTGTTCTGTGTGTGTGTGTGTGTGTGTGTGTGTGACCGAAGTGAAGTTCAGTGTTCAGTCCTTCCCCACCGTAAAGGCTAGGTACTGTCGACTCGACCCGGTAGTGGCGATACACGCGGGATTTGTATCTGTGGAAGAAAAGTTTTGAGTGATAGCAGTTGGTTCTTCTCCTTTGGCTCGGATTTCAGGTAAGACCACTTCTTCTGTTCCATGGATGTCCACTTGGTGTGTCCCCGTGGGTGTCCACTTGATCTGTCCCCGTGAGTGTCCACTTGATCTGTCCCCGTGAGTGTCCACTTGATCTGTCCCCGTGAGTGTCCACTTGATCTGTCCCCGTGAGTGTCCACTTGATCTGTCCCCGTGAGTGTCCACTTGATCTGTCCCCGTGAGTGTCCACTTGATCTGTCCCCGTGAGTGTCCACTTGATCTGTCCCCGTGAGTGTCCACTTGATCTGTCCCCGTGAGTGTCCACTTGATCTGTCCCCGTGAGTGTCCACTTGATCTGTCCCCGTGAGTGTCCACTTGATCTGTCCCCGTGAGTGTCCACTTGATCTGTCCCCGTGAGTGTCCACTTGATCTGTCCCCGTGAGTGTCCACTTGATCTGTCCCCGTGAGTGTCCACTTGATCTGTCCCCGTGAGTGTCCACTTGATCTGTCCCCGTGAGTGTCCACTTGATCTGTCCCCGTGAGTGTCCACTTGATCTGTCCCCGTGAGTGTCCACTTGATCTGTCCCCGTGAGTGTCCACTTGATCTGTCCCCGTGAGTGTCCACTTGGTCTGTTCCCTGTGGGTGTCCACTTGGTCTGTTCCCTGTGGGTGTCCACTTGGTCTTTATTTCACCAACAATTATATGACAAGTTACGTACATGGTGCTCTAATTAATGGTAATGTAGATTAAAGGAATTAGATTGCTTGTAATATACGATTTACCCCGTTAGGATCGTTCAGTGTTTTAAAAGCTGTAATTCATATAAGTGATACCGTATTTATTTATTTATTTGTTGAAAATTTAGCACGATATATAATTTTGCTATAAAGTTTTATACGTATGCTGTAGGCTTATCAATACTCATAACAAAGTATATCTGTTCAATTTATACCTACGTTATATTTAATGATCATCGAGCGAAATCTGGCGACAGTGAGGTAAAAACTAAAGTATTTGATTCATTGGGACCCTAGCGCGTAATTTTTTTTATTTAGGGGGACGGGTCTGCGGCTAATGACAACCCTTGTAAATTGAATTTATTATAATTATCATTTTTAACATTTATTTATACCAATTAAAACAACTTGACTCCCTTTTTAGAGCGAGGCGCCAACACATTATTGATAATTCATTGGTTTCTGTATGGGGGATCTAGGCTAGAATGCGTTTGTATAAAGCCATGTTTTAGAACATTTTTCAACTCGACTCGAATCAATTTTTTTTTTTGAGATATATACAAGAGTTGTTACATTCTTGTACAACCACTAGTACGCGTAGCGTTTCGGGCAAGTCCTTAATCCTATGGTCCCTGGAATACGATCCCCTGCCGCGAAGAATCGTTTTTTCATCCAAGTACACATTTTACTGTTGCGTTAAACAGAGGCTACAGTTAAGGAATTGCGCCCAGTAAATCCTCCCCGGCCAGGATACGAACCCATGACATAGCGCTCGCGGAACGCCAGGCGAGTGTCTTACCACTACACCACGGAGACTGTGGATGTGTTTTAAATGTTTATTCAGGTAAAAGTACATACATACAAGATGAGTTACAAGCATATTGGATTTATAGATAGAGCTGGTACATACAATGCCTAAAGCCACTAATACGCACGCAGTGTTTGGGGTTTTTCTTCCTAAATTATTTATTAGAGATTTTTTTTAACAAAACGAATAAACCAGAATGATCACACTGTAGCGACTTTTACATTGTGTAATGTGTGAAAGTTTAATAAAATTCGTGCCAAAATTAACACTTTCACTATTTTAAGAAGAAAAAACATGTTTCGTTCGAATTTTCCCGCCAAAACTGCAACGCCTAAAACGTTTAGCATTATTTCTTCTCTCGGTATAACTAATTTTATATATAGTTTCCAGTTACTTGTATTCAATTAATCTTTTTTGTTGTTGTTGTCCCAGGCGAGACAAATGGTTGGGTGCGTTTCCTATCACCTGATGACCTGTTCACCTAGCAGTAAATAGCTACCCAGGAGTTAGTCAGCTTGTTGTAGGGGTTTCATCTTGGGGAGGATCGGTAGTTCGACCATGAGGTGTGGCAGACCTCGATATAAGCCTAACGTACGTACGTACGTGTGTGTGTGTACTTAGCTAGTTGTGCTTGCGGGGGTTGAGGTCTGGCTCTTTGGTCCCGCCTCTCAACTGTCAATCAACTAATGTATAGGTTCCTAAGCCTATTGGGCTCTATCATATCTACACTTGAAGCTGTGTATGGAGTCAGCCTTCACCACATCACTTCCTAATGCATTCCATTTGTCTACTACTTGACACTGAAAAAAATATTTCTAACGTCTCTGGCTCATTTGGGCACTCAATTTCCACCTATGTTCACTAGTGCGTGTGCCCCTTGTGTTAAATAGTCTATCTTTATCTACCCTATCAATTCCTCTGAGAATCTTGTATGTGGTGATCATGTCGCCTCTAACTCTTCTGTCTCCCAGTGACGTGAGGTTTAATTCCCGTAATTTCTCCTCGTAGCTCATACCCCTCAGTTCGGGTACTAGTCTGGTGGCAAACCTTTGAACGTTTTCCAGTTTAGTCTTATGCTTGACTAGATATGGACTCCATGCTGGAGCCCCATACTCCAGGATTAGTCTGACATATGTTGTATACAAAGTTCTGAAAGATTCCTTACACAAGTATCTAAAGGCATATGCCCGTTTTATGTTAGCCAACCTGGCATATGCCGCTGATGTTATCCTCTTGATATGAGCTTCAGGGGACAGGATTGGCGTGATATCGACCCCCCCCCCAGGTCTCTCTCTCTCTCTCTCTCTCTCTCTCTCTCTCTCTCTCTCTCTCTCTCTCTCTCTCTCTCTCTCTCTCTCTCTCTCTCTCTCTCTGACTCTTGAAGAATTTCATCTCCCAAATGATACCTTGTATCTCGTCTCCTGCTCCCTCCGTGTGTGTGTGTGTGTGTGTGTGTGTGTGTGTGTGTGTGTGTGTGTGTGTGTGTGTGTGTGTGTGTATTCACCTAGTTCTGCTTGCGGGAAGGTGAGCTCTGCTCTTTCGGCTCGCCTCTCAACTGTCAATCAACTGTAACTAACTAATATTTTTTTCCTTATGCACACACACACACACACACACACACTGTGTGTGGGGGGGGGGCTGAGGGCTGGGGCTGAGCATAACATTGAGAAGGTTTTCAGGCTAGGCTGGTACAACAAAGACCAAGACCGTTTGTTAAAGATAGTGTTTGCAAACGAAAACACAAAGATGATTCTAACAAAGAAGAGTCACCTGCAACATGTGGGAGAATTCAAAAAAGTATTCCTCCAGAGAGACATGACGAGGGAGGAGAGAACCATGGTGGCAGAAGCAAAGAAGAAGCGCAGGGTGAGAGGGGAAACCAGGAAATCGCAGCTCCCAACACAACATCCCCCAGTTGTGAGGGGGAAACTCACAACCAGCTTCCTAGTAACACCAGAGGGGAGTACAACCCCACCACCCTCCTCTCCATAGAAACCCCCCCTACCCCAAACCCTCCCTGCCCCCACTCAAATGCTCAGTCAAATCTCCCTCCCCCACATCCCATCCCCACCCTGCTACCCCTCCCCTTCTCCCACTATGTCCCCCCTCCCCCCTTTTCCTTCCAGTCCTCCCTCCCCCTTCATCCCATACCGTCCCTGTCCATTCACTTGACCCCCCATCCCTCACTCCAGTATCCTCTGAGACCCTGTTATCCACCTCACAAAAATCCTCACCCATGGAACAGCTTCCCCCACCAGCAGAACACTCACCAAGGTGGCAATATGAGAAAGGACAGAAGAAAGTGAGCCTCAAGGCAATGTATACTAACATACATAGAATTACCAATAAAGCAAACGAACTTGGAGAATGGGTAGTAGAAGAAAACCCAGACATAATAGCACTCACAGAAACAAAGCTAACGAAAACCATAACAAATGCAGTGTTTCCACAGGACTATTATGTTGTGAGGAAAGAGAGAGAAGGAAGAGGTGGTGGTGGTGTAGCTCAGCTGGTAAGAAAAGGCTGGGATTTTGAGGAGATGGTTATTCAGGGCTGTGAAGGTTTCAGTGACTACATAACAGGTACCATAACAACTGGAGGACAAAAAATTATAGTCGTAGTCATATATATAATCCACCACCAAATGACAGAAGGCCCAGACAGGAATATGACAAACAACATGGCCACCACTAACATAATAGAGAGAGCAGCTTCTGTTGCTAGCAGGAATGGCTCTGGACTAATAATTATGGGAGACTTCAACCACGGAAAGATAGATTGGGAGAACAGAGACCGACATGGAGGACCAGAA